CAGCAGCAGTATTTATAGGCCGCTGTCCCTTTAAGACCTGATGCACGGATCCGATATAATGATACACATCACATCCCATTTCTTTCTCAGCTGTTTTCATTCATTTGAGACTAGTGCTGGGCGGTATACCGGTTCATACCGAATACCGGTGTTTATTTTTATGATGATATGACTTTTTAAAATACCGCAATACCGGTGTATGTCGCTTAAACAACGTTCGGAACGCGACACTGTTTGAAAGGGGTCGCCGACTCGTCAATAAATTAGTACAAAACAGCGTTTCCAAACACCTGTCACTTACTGATTGTTTGGAATTATAAATGAGCGTAGTTCATATCACATGCACTTTTTTGTTTGTTGTTTTTTTTAGTTTGTTACTCAGACGCAGGCAGTGCGCTGCATGAGACAAAAAAGTAATATAGCCAAAACAACCGCATAGCCGCTCTTTAGTGTAGATGCATGTTGATTTTATCAGACGATGCCGCGATTATAAATGAGAGTGACTCCTGGTTAACATGTATTACAAGGGGTTGTTTAGTCACTATTTAGTGTGGTATTTTTTGACAATATTCACTCATGACTGTAAAATAGGGCATTCTAAGTCAACATACTGCAGTATTTCCTCTCAATCAGTAGAAAATATGGTTAACACCCGGTCATGCATAAAAAAAAAAATACCGTCATGTACCGTGAAACCGGTATAATTTTGAAAAATACCGTGATATAAATTTTTGGTCATACCGCTCAGCACTACTTGAGACATAACTGACTGCGTTTACCTGAATGGTTGTCGAGATGGGTATTTTGTCATAATTTTATGTGTATGTGTCTGTTCAGAGGATTCAGAAGAGGATTCAGTTCGGTGTTCGCGCGCTGTCTGAAACGCGTGTGCGCTTCAGAGAAGAGAGTGCAAGTAACGAATCGAATTCCCTTTCGCCTTTTCTCTCTGGAATTGTTTCAATTCGCTTGCTTGTGTAAATACAAACAAATGATAAACTTATACTCTATTATGGTTACATTTTTCAATTAATCCGCGGATCATATGCGTGCCGAACCGTGGGTCTTGGTCCGTACGGATCACGGATCGACTACGATCCGTTTAACCACTAGCAAGAACATAATATAAGCGTCTAAAATGCATGTAGGCTCAGTTCAGTTGAAAGCTCACCCCTTTTGGCTTGCTGTTAATGCTGAATGTAAGAATGAAAACTGAAAGTAAAGAGCTTGTGCGATGAAAGTTGCGTTCGTTACTATAGCAACAGTCGGCTTTTGAAACGTAGCGTTCCCCTTCTGTGACGTAAACGAGCAACAATATCCAGTGATGCACACTATTCAGTTTACTATTACCTTTACAGTTTACTATCAGTTTACTATACTAAACTTTTTTTTTTTTGTCAAATTCCGCCGTTTTGAGTTGAAAGTAGGTCTGTCATTTACGTGATTCATGTAATGCATAATTGATTGTGACGACAATAGCATTTTCTGTTTTGCGTTTTCAACAATACAACTAATATAAAACGGGTGCATATTTTAAAATAAAAATATTATTTGTAGTTCAGATTGATTACTTCACCAAAATTCTTATTCTTGTTCTTTTACTGATCTTTTTTCTTCTTTTAATTTATTCCCCTAAATCCATTTTAAATCTTTTATTTATTTCGTTTCTTTAAATAAGTACCATTACCATAGAGGTCTGGTCTTTATATTCTCCTCAAAACAATTGATCCGCCCAATGTTCGAGGCATGATTATGGCCTTGTTTGGTATAAATAAATAAGCTAGTTGAAAAGAATCACCAGTGTAGAAACACTGATCCAGAGAAAGAGAACTATTTTTAATATTCAATAAAGAAAAAAAAACATTTATTTTGTTGTGAAAGTGCATGATATTGATCGTTTTTCAGTGTATATAATATAGTTAACATAGTTAAGCAATATCTACAATTGGCTATACATATCTAGACTGTATCTAGACTCATTCGTCCCACTGGTCGCTCTTTTGCGACTAACTTTCTCAGTTGGTCACATGATTTGGTCGCAATTTTTTTTGCTACAACATGGGATTAATCAATGCATGCTGATGAGCTTATCATAGTTTATAGTTATATGGAAACGAAAGTGGTTAACATTCAACCCGTTGTTTTTCTTCAGTATTTGTGATTTGAATTTTGTGAACGGGAGTTCCTCTTTTGCTGTGTTATAAGCCAGAAAAGATAATTGCCTGATTTGCTTACATACATCTATAAATATTTCACTTTTTAAGACAAAATATGCATTCTTTGCTATTCTTAATTAAAAAGCACAACAACAATAAAACAGTAAGATACAATGACAAACTAGCTCACAAAGCATTTATTAACAAAAACGAATAAGACGAGGCATGGCACACACCACATGCACACAATATACCGACTAATAAATTACAGAACATTTAGCAAACACTGAGAAATCACATATAATAAAAGAGAGCCTCCATAGTGTAACGTGAGGTTAACAGCAAAGATAACAAGCTTTTTAAAATGAAAACATGCATGTTTTTCCCCCACAAGAATACCAACATGTTCACCCTCTCTAGTTTAAGAAACGATCTTTTACTTTATTTTAGCGTGAAAACCATCCATCGTTTCCTCAATATTCACGTAATTTTTGCTATAGATTTCTATAGCTGTCAAGAAGTACCTGGAGTAGTCTATATCTATCTCTAAGTTTCTCCATCTCTTTCTGGTTTCCAGGCTCCTTCCTTTTACTGGGAGATCGAAGTTGTTTCTTTCGGAGACTCGGAGGATGACAGCGGCCCTGTGGTGTCGTTCGGTTTCTCCCCGGAGGCCGAGAAGAGAGACGGCGCTTGGACCAGTCCTGTGGGCACCTGTCTATTCCACAAGTACTGACCCGCTCCATTTAACACGTCCACTGGACTCTAAACCTGTTCTTTCTCTTCCCCTCTGCTTCCCATCCTAACTCTTTTTTGTTGTTGTTTCTCTCCCGCTCAGTAATGGGAGGGCGGTACACTATAATGGCTCCAGTTTGCTGCAGTGGAAGAGTGTGAGACTAGACGTGGCTCTACTTCCTGGTGAGACAGGACCGACTTTATTCATTTGAGCATTTAGCCATTAGCTACAAGCACATTACGTTGTTCAAGCCAACTGTTGGGAAAGCTACTTTTGAAACTGTTGAAGCACGTTTAAAGGGATTGTTCTTTCCCACGACGGCGAGTTGCCTATTGTTTCTCTTGTAGCTAACGCTTTCTGTTTGCTCTTATTGTGCTCTCTAACATTATTGTACATCGAGTCTTAAATCAGAAATTTGTGTTTAAAGAGCTGAAGTTGAGTGTTAAGATGGTGTAGAAGCATTATAATTATTGATTGATAATTGCCTCAACCTCCTCAGCTGTTGTGTGCACAATAAAATATCACATACTCTGCAAAAAATGTTTTTCTTAATCTGTAATTATGTCTTGTTTTCTATTACAAATATCTAAACATTATTAAATCAAGATAAATTAGCTTGAAGCAAAATTACAAATTAAGTCTTATTTTCTAAATAAATAAAGTAAATAAATGGACTAAATACATAATATAAAAAAATGAAGTGAGACGTATTAAAATTGAGTAATAAAAAAAATTGAATTAAGTTTGTTTCTTGTCCCATTGGCAAATATTTTTTCTTATTTTAATCATAAATCTGCTTAATTTTGATGCATTATATTAAAACAAGTCTTAATATAATATGCCGTTTTACTTCTCAAGTAAACACATCTTGATTAGGGATGTTTATTTCGGTTATTTTTCCTAACCGACACTCGTTAACCGATTATTAACCGTTAACCGACAAGATTATTTCAAATTAGAACTGAATTAAATTAGAAAGGATACGTGTCTGTGACCCGTTAAAAATACTAACATTTGTTTCCCGGGGATTAATTTTAGGCTACATGTGCAAAAAGCAGCAAACAACAGAACGTGAGGATTCACATGGTCTTCATATCAACATCACGCACATGCAGCGCTTCTGCGAGCGGAGAAAAACATAATAAAGCTAGGCTATATATATAACGATAAATAGGCCTATACGAGAAATATATTTTTACTTAA